CCATGTTATTCGGTCAGTTAAATTCCGAGTTCGACGTTAAGTCAAAATTATATCCAGTTAATTTTATTTATTAACCGAGTTAATTCCAGTAGTTAATCTCAATCCGTTTATTGTTATAAATGGACACAGTAAATTCGGGATTAATTATTCCAGTATTGACATATTAGTCGTTTCGGTTAGTTAGTATTCAGTAACCGAATCAGTTCAGTAATTAATTCCGAAACATTTATTTTTATAAACGGCTATTATTAGTTGAGATTAATTATTCTAATTTTGACATATTGATTGAATTAAGAATATTCGATTAATCGTCAAAGTGGATTTTCAAGCCAGTTATTGAGTTTCAGTTTTAAGTTCGACTATTAGTCGATAAAATATTCGGTTTAATTATTTAGGTAACCGAATAAGTTTTCAGATTTAATTCCAATTCATTTATATAATTAATGAGTTTGGAATTAAGGAGGTTAAGTCTATATAATGTTTGAATAAAATTTCAAAGTCAAGTCCGACCGAAATCAAGTAAACTCGGTTAGGGATTAAACCCTAACTTAATTGTTTTTATACATAGAAAAATTTCTAAGTATTATTAGTATATATATGTTCATATAAGCAAAAGAGTTGTTGTTAAGCAACAATAAGCACAAGTTCATGCACGTCAATTGTCTCGCACCAACCATTACCGAGCCAATGCTTATGTTGCGTTCAATTCATTAAATTCAACATAGTGAGGTGACTAAGCAGCTTTCTTAGCAAATTATTATGGTCATGACACCTTAGTTGGTGACTAAGCTTCATCATATGCCACCAAAACTTAAGCTTAAGCCAAGTGTCCCTTTTAGTTGCCACCACATGCTAGCTTGCCTCCTCCATTTACTATTTGTAGCCTAAGATCAGATTTGAGGTGAGTTTTGACTCCATTTTATTCAGCCTAAGTTTATTTTATACTCTATGCCTAGCAAATGAGATAGTGCCGAAAGATAGTGTATGTACATGCCATAGCAAAGAGAAGAAGGCATGGTGCTACTTCCTTTTCTAGCCGGGTTCACCTAAACTAACCTGACTCCATGGAGTTCTGGGAGTGTAGGAAGCATATTGAAAGCCATCTACCTTGGCCAGGAGAAGTTGTAGTCGAGGCTTTGCCGATAGGTCCCGGGCAAGGGTCGAGAGAGGGCCTTGGAGCCATTTTCGAGCTTGATGAAGGTAAATGAATCTTAATCTACTTCTCCAGTAAATTACATGTTATTTTATGATTTATCATGTAAGGAAATCGAGTTTTGCTTGAATAGAATTAAAGATTTGGATTTTTGACGTTAATCGGCTTAAAAACGAATTTTTAGTTCCAAGCATGTTTTGGCCGTGGGTAGTAGCTGAAAAATCATGATAAATCATATATAAGAGGTCTGTTAAGTTTCAGCGTGTTTTGAGTTAAAATGCTCGGTCAAGTTGAATGTGATTTTAACGTATTTTACTCCCGAGCCATGTGAATATCTAGCCAAACACTCCCGAGTAATTTATGTGTATTTGGTCATTATATGTCATGTTATGTCCAGCCAAGTCATAGTTGCCGGAAAAAGTTGCCGGAAGGCCGGCGAAGTGCTGACCGTAGGGCCTGCCCGCACGTAGCGGTGTAGTGCCAGCCGGCAGTGGCCTGTGATGAAGGATCGTGTGTTGCGTTACCCTCGACTTGTCTCGATCACGGCTTCGCCCCGGCCTTGCTCTCGATGATAGGTGTGATCGACTCGGTTATTAGCCTAACTCTCTCACGATACTTTAGTTCACTCGGGTCTTAGCCTAGCTCACTCTTTTGAACTAGATCGGGTCTTAGCCTCTCTAACTCGGTTGAACTGGCTTGGGTCTTAGCCTCACCAATTCGGTTGCATGATCAAACTCTCACAAATCCTAACACACGGTTTCGAACAAACGTTCTTTTCTATTCAACTCATCAATTCTCGACCATTAAAACAATGAGGGATCATCCCTATTTATAGATCCTAACTATGACTAATTCTAATCT